TTGTTGTTTGGCAGGCCTGGGCTGGGTTCGAACCTGCCAGTTCCAGTGTATGTGGCTGGCACCCCAGCCACTGAGCTATACTAGATGGTTTTTTCTTACACATAGAGTTAGTTTTGCTTACAGTTTCATTCTCTAAAATTGCTTTTAGAAGTTATGGTGTCATTGTGCTTATTAGCATTCTTACTCTGTAGAAAATATATGAACTCTCTTATGGCATTACTTAAGCATTTTGTAAATGTAAAATATTGGACAATATGTAAAACTTTTTGTGTTAATCATCCTACCTTTGAGCTTGGAGGTGAACTAGGCTCTTTTTTTTCTTTAGAAAGATGACATCATGTGTAGAAAACAGTGTTAAAACTCTCTGTGTTGTGTATTAATCTCTCTACCTTTATGTTTAGAGATAAATCTATAAGGCTTTTCCCCCCAGAAATAAGCTATCCTTTTTCATTTGATATATGTATGTATATATTTTGTATGTGTATGGTCTAAGATCTTAAAACTGTGTAAGATTTAATTTTAAGGTACACTTTTAGGTGGACGATGAAGACTTGCAAGATGAACCTCTGCAGATCACCGTTCTTGACCATGATACTTACAGTGCAAATGATGCCATTGGTAAAGTGTACATTGACATTGATCCTCTACTGTACAGTGAAGCTGCAACAGTCATCTCAGGGTGGTTTCCAATTTATGACACCATACATGGTAAGGAGTAAGATTTATAAATCACAGTCTTTTAAATTTATTCTTAAAGACTTTTGGTGGTACACTTGATGGTTGTAAAGTATGTGTCTTCAAAAGGTACCGTTTAGAAAACAAGCAGTAGTGTTGCTGGTTCAGAGAGCCAGCTCAATTTATGTTCAGAATTGTTACTTCTCTGAACATAATTTGAAATAATGCCTACTAAATTTGTGCAATATAGTAAGTCAATGTATTATTTAAAAATGAGCTAGTCTTGGTCCTCTGTATGTCTAAAACACATTTTCGAAGTGCCAATACTGATTTTTTTTGCTTAAAATTTCTTCAAAGAATTTTTGTTGTCTGAAGCAGGGTTTACCAAGTATGGTCTGGGAGTACATAGGAGTCCCAGACATTCTTTTACAGATCTGTGAGTTGAGAACGCTTTCCAACTTAGACTCAAGTCATTCACTGTTGTTATTCCCACTTTATCACAAGCCTACAATGGAGTTCCCTAGAGGTTTTATGATATCAGATGGTGAACACAGAGCAGAAATGAGAATGTGTTTCATTAACTAGACATTCGTTAATGAGAGAGAATTGTAGAAGTATAACACATTGCCAGTCTTATCACTAATTTTCTGAAAGTTTAGTTATTTTTATTAAAAACATTGCTTATGTTAACATGAATGAGTTTATTATTGTAACTTTAAATGAAGTAATAAGTATGCTTTTTAAAAATCCCGTATTTTTAAAATATGGTAAATACTGATAGATAATGACCAGCTAAATAAGAACTGTTTTTGAGGTCTGCAATTATTTTTAAGATTGTCATGAGGTCCTGAGAGCAAAAAGTTTTAAGAACTACTCTCCTAAATGTGTAATGTCTCTTCAGAATGGCAGCATGGCCCATTCCGAACTGGCGTTTCTCTCCCCAGCTGTGCATCTCTCAGCCTTTTTTACTTTTTTGGCTTGGCAATTCCACTGATGGTAGCTGACTGAGGTTTATGTATATTTATTGTGAGATTATTTATATCCTAATATGTACTAATGTTTAAAATGATAAAACAAATTGAAGAGAGACATTTACTTAAAATTATGGTATATATAGACCCTAGTAAAGAGATTTACTTAAATTATGGTATATATAGTCAGGAAAAAATGGTATGTTTTCAGAAAACAACATCATAGGAAATTGCATGATTGAATGAATGCAAAGTTTAGGTTATAAAACATATGATCCAAAGTTTGTTTAGAAATAGAATTGTGTATTGCAGTATCACTGGAAAAATTGGTAGAATACATGATAAAACATTTTTTATTTCTGGATCATAATTTTATTTCCCTTTGTCCTTTTTTGCCTTTTCCTCTGTTTTCTATAATATATATGTATTTTCTTTGAAATCAAGAAATACAGTCCATTCAAATATTTATTATGTTACCAATTAAAAAAAAAGATGCTGAGGAACTAATCTGAGCTCGAATTAAAAGTGACTATATGAATGAATGCATTTTTCAAATATATTAAATATTGTTTTTAGGTGGTCTGTGATATTTATGAGCCCTTTGTTAAGAACATAATCTTTTAAAAAAATTTCAGTAGGTAAACTAGTAAGTCACTATTCCTAGAAGTTCTTCCACCATAAATATAAATTTGACATGAATTCAGGATAGTCAAATGAAAATGTTAGGAGATGTTTAGAGATAAGGGGTGGGTCATTCTTATTTGAGTATATTCTGAAAACTTACTCTTTTAGAATGTTTTAGTTAGCTTATTTTAAATTGTATACATTAAAATGAATAAAACAACGTTCTTGTTAAATCAGGTTCTTTCATTATTTAGGGTATGTATTCTGAGATCATAAAGATCTTAATTTTAATCCCGGCTTTATTAACTACTGACTCTGTGTAAATCATTTAACTTTTATTAATTAAATATTAATCTCTTCTTTTGTAAAATGAGGATGATATGACTACCGAAGTTACGTTATTGGATTGATGAGATATGTAAAGCATCTAGTGTATCATCTACCGGGGCTGGCAGATGTTCCCATCATCATCATCACCATCAATTTAAAAAAGACTCCATTCTCGTTGGTTCTGGTTCAAATAAGTGAAGACTTGAGGTGAAAACGAGAATGGTTCTTTAATGCATATGTGTTCTACTTCAGAAAATGTAATAAAAAATTATCGAGAATGAAAATACTTAGGAAATAGTTAACATTACCATTGTGATTGATAAATTACAGCTTCTCCATGACTTATGATAGGATTTTGTCCTGATAAAACCCACTTTAATTTGAAAATATCATTAAGTCAAAAACACATTTTATATACCTAATCTGCCAAACACCATGGTTTATCTTAGCTTACTCTAACCTTAGACAGTTACATTAGCCTGCAGTAGGGCCAAATTACCTAACACAAAGCCTATTTTATAATATAATAGAATGTTGACTGTTTCATAATTTATTGAATACTGTAGTAAAAGTGAAAAGCAGACTGTTTTGCCACCATGATAAAGTTGAAAAATTGTAAGTTGAGCCATTGTAAGACAGGGATTGTGTACATTTTAAAATTATTGTGATTTATGTGCTTTGTTATTTAATTACACTATTTTCTTAAGGTAGAAGCTTGATTTTTCTTTTTGAATTTATAGGTATCCGTGGGGAAATCAATGTAGTAGTCAAAGTAGACCTCTTCAATGATTTAAATCGGTTTAGGCAGTCATCGTGTGGAGTCAAATTCTTTTGCAGTAAGTAAATACATTGTGTTGTTCATTTAATAGACAATTTGATAATTGTTAAACATGGGAAATGAAATTAGTATTTCAGAAGGCTAATAGAGAAAAGATTTTATACTTTGGATTTAATGCAAAGGAGAAAATTGGTAATCTTCCACACACAATTACAGTAACTCTGAGACTATTTATCATTGAAAGAAAAGGGTATCTAAATTTTACATGTCTATAACAATTTTTGTTAGAAAAATCCAGTGATAACTTTACAGGGCAGTGAAAGATAGGAGTAGACCACTATAGCTAAGCATTACAGTAAGCTGCCGCAGATTACACAGGCTTCTATGGGTAGGGGCCCTCAGAACTCCGTGAAATGCATGAATCTGAATTGGGCAAGTCTGTTTGACTCAGAGCCAGTCTCTTAAACTAGGGATGAAAACCCCTAGGTAGTTGAGTAGCTTCAATGCATAAATGTCTCTTTTAAGAGAATAGTTTGGTATAGGTGGTCTGAGGTTTTTGTCTTTTTTTTTTTTTAAAGACAGAATCTTAATTTACCCAGGTTAGAGTGAAGACAAGCATCATCACAGCTCACAGCAACCTCAAACTCCTGGGCTCAAGTGATCCTCTTGCCCCAGCCTCCTTAGTAGCTGGGACTACAGGCGAGTCCCACTACACCCGGCTATTTTTTTTATTTCTTGTAGAGATGGGGTCTCCCTCTTGTTCAGGCTGGTGTTGAACACCTAACTTCAAGCAATCCTCCTGCCTTGGCCTCCAAAAGTGCTAGGCATACATGCATCAGCTGTCATGCCTGGCTCCCTTTTTGAATCTGACCATATCTTATTTCAATCCAATCCAATTCGACTTAAATGAGTTTTATAAACGAGTTTATTAAGTAGCATAGTGTCTATTGAACCAGTTAGCATGAGGCTGTGGGTTATTAGAAACTTCAGAGCTATCATGACTCAAGTTATATTGGAAAGGCAGTAGTGTGATTTTTGAGGCTGTCATGTGTGGCATACAGAAGTGCTTTTGCAAAGGACTTTGAATAAGATATTTCTTAATTTGTTATTTGCTTTCTAATTATGTAATTATCTAGCTAATTTTTTTTTTGAAACAGACTCTCAAGCTGTTACCCTGGCTAGAGTGCCATGGCATCATAGCTCATAGCAACCTCTTGGGCTCAGGCAATCCTCTTGCCTCAGTTTTTCTATTTTTGGTAGAGATGGGATCTCGCTTTTGCTCAGGCTGGTCTCAAACTCCTGAGCTCATGCAATCCACCTGCCTGCACTTCCCAGAGTACTAGAATTATAGGTGTGAGCCACTACATCTGGCCTTATGTAGCTAATTTTAATTTTGATTTTATAAACCTTTGTATCGAATGCTACTTAAGGTAGCCTATGGTTTTATCATTGTATTTTATAAAAATACAATTTATGTTTATAATGCTTATGTAAGAAAGATGAGAGGCCTCATGAAAGAAAATTACTGCTAAGAATAAAATGGATCTTAGAAGACTGATTAGAAGTGTTCCTATAATTACATTGAGATGATCACAGTGAAAGACACTCTATATTTAAAAGACAAGAACTTAGATGTACATTTTTTAAAAATTGAATTTTATCTTTTGAGAAACAGAAGCGTAACAGATAATTTGTTTTAACAGCAACATCTATTCCAAAGTGCTATAGAGCTGTGATAATTCATGGATTTGTAGAAGAACTTGTGGTTAATGAAGACCCAGAATATCAATGGATTGATCGAATTCGCACACCGAGGGCATCAAATGAGGCCAGACAGAGACTCATTTCTTTAATGTCAGGTATTTTAAAAAAGTAACTTTATTACTGATTGACTTAATACTTTAATTTTTTTCACTTTTCTTTGACATGCTACCAAAATTTTACAATGAAGGCTATGAATTATAAGTGAATAATTCCCTGCACCAGGAGCCATCCTCCCCCCCTACACAGACATTAACTCTTTTAACAAGTAGGAATCTGAATCAGAAGCTTGTTCCTAACTAGGTGGTAAAAGGACATTGTGTTCCTGGAATAGTGTAGTGGAAAGAGCTCTGAGCAAGGAGGTTTAGGAAGGAGCCCTGAACATCAGGAAAGCAGATTCTGATTTTCCTCCATCCAGCATTTATTTGTGTCAGAGCTAAGGCAGATCATCCATCTCTCTCTGTCTGATGCTTTCTATTCAAATGTTGTCTGTCCATAGTCCTTCCCTGAGAGCCAGTGCATAGCATAGAAGCAAAAATTGCTTGGTAAATGAATGCATGAGTGAGTGAATCTAACTTACCACGTCCATAAAATGCGAGGTGTAGTATCTTACTTCCTTGAAGGGAGGAGACTGAACCTGATAATCCTCTAGTTCCCTTTAAATTCTGAAAGTCTGACTTTTTTGAGGTTTTTTTTTTTTTAATCACTATCATAACCAGCTTTATAGTATGTAGAGATATGATGCAAAAATGAGTTTTTTTCCTTTTCTGTAGGTGAACTGCAGAGAAAGATTGGCTTGAAAGTCCTTGAAATGAGAGGCAATGCAGTTGTTGGGTACTTACAGTGTTTTGATCTGGAGGGCGAGTCTGGGTTAGTGGTACGAGCCATAGGAACAGCGTGTACTCTGGATAAATTAAGTAGCCCAGCAGCATTCCTTCCTGCATGTAATTCCCCATCTAAAGATATGAAGGAGTAAGTATGAGTCAATTAAATTGATTTTATGGAGATTTTTTTTTTTTATCTTTTACCTATGCATTTGATTGGAAATATTTTAGTAGTCTCTTTCGACATACGTTTTTTTCCCTATGGTGATTTTTCTTATCAGAAATGACTGCGAACATTTAAAACTTAAAAATATTTAGATTTTTCCTGTTTCATTTAACTGCCTTAATATGAAACTTCAATTAAGTTGTACAAAATTAAACTTTTCAGCCAGGTGTTGTGACAGGTGCCTGTAGTCCCAGCTATTTGGGAGGCTGAGATAAGAGAATTGCTTAAGCCCAAGAGTTAGAGGTTGCTGTAAGCAGTGACGCCACGGCTCTCTACCAAGGGTGACATAGTGAGACTCTGTCTCAAAAAAAAAAAAAAAACAGTAAACTTTTTCCAGATCTTTATATATTGGATAACTAAAGCACTAAATGAATGAATTTATGTGCATTATGTGGAATTTTACTTATTTTCTGTAGAATACTTGAAGCCCCCTACCTGATAATCCAATTATGTTATTATTGGCAACATAGTATAGAAAGCAAGGAAGATTGACTTTGCAGGAGTCTCAAACACAATTGTCAGAGGTAATAAAATAATAAGGTATAATTAAATAGGAAATGCTAAGGTCTGTGTAAAGCTGAAGTAGGCAAACTTTTTCAGGCCAGATGATAATATTGTAGACACTGGCCACACAGTATCTGTCTTTACAGTTAAAGGGTTTTGCAGATCTCTGATCTAAAGGAATTTAGACTTGTGCATTTTAAAAAAATTATGTGTAATCCAACTTCTGTTGTCTGGATTTGGCCTGTGTCCAAAGACCAAGATTATCAACATGGTGGTGGTTGTATGGTCAGTACAGAATGTTTGAAACAAGCTTTTTCTGTCATAGTGATTCTACACAGGGAACAAGGGACAAGAGTGAGCACACAGTAAATCAGACTTGTTCCATCCTAAATGCCATAGTACTTTGTTGAGGCCCATTGATCCAGCGGTTCTTCTGTAAATTAACAGATGATGTGGGTAAATCATTTAGTTTTTGCTAACACTACTACATAATTCTGCCATTGTAGTGTGAAAGCAGGAGTTGAACAGTATGCAAGGGATTGTGTATGGCTGTGGTCAAGTAAAACTTATTTATTTACAAAACAGATGTCAGGATGGTTTTGGCCTATAGTTTATGGTTTGCTGACTCCTGTTCTAGATTATCAAGGAGTCAGAATCCTGTACTCAGAAAACCTAGAATGTTTCCCAGTTCAGCATTAGTCAAGAGAGGTTGAATAGAAAGCAGTCATAGTCTTAAAAAAAAAAAAAAAAAGTTTTTCTATGTCTTTTTTAAAATGAGATTTTCGTCTTTGTCTTAAGCTTCTTCTTTTTATGTAGACATTTTCTCTATCCTGTTAGTTACTTGGATTAAATTTTATTCAGAAGAGAGACCAGCATTACATATTGCCAAATTTTGTTTGGAAACACATTGACAAATAATTGTGTTTTAAAAATTGTAGAATGAATCTGTTTTACATTCTGTTTTAAAATATCTCCTAGAAGGATATGAATTGCCAGCTGCTATAGGTCGAGTCTGATTGCAGAGAGAGATTTTTGAAGGAGAAAGATTTATTTTTTCTCTCTTTGCATAGTGAATTTAAGTAAGTCACTTAGTGGAAAGAGACAATACTATACCACTTATTGGTTTCTTAGAATGAGATGTAGATAGCAGGGGAATAGGTTTTGCATGTGTTCAGGAAGAGTTCCATTAATGTAATCCTTCTGGGACTGTGTACATTTTCTCCTTTTCTAATGTTTTAGCCATTTGCCTTAAATTGTCAAACATTTTTACACCATGATGAATTTAAGTTAGTTGTTAGGATTTTTTGCAAAGCATATTAGTATGGATGGCTAGTTATTTAAAAACATAAACTCTCAGTTCTTAGGCTGCTTTATTTCAACCAGCTTCATTGTATTTTGATAATGATTCAGTTGGGATGCTGTTTCATAGCTTATTTTATGATTCAGTTGATTATAGCTATTCTGCTATTTAATTATCACATAATATTATTGATTCTAGACAGGAATTTGCTAAAAGTTAGTTTAGATTACATTCTTGTCTGAATGGATTTAATATTAGGCATACCATAGGGGCGATACTGTGAGATAGCCTTTCATGCCAGGAGACTGATGGAGGTAGAACTCAAAGAGTACATGAGGGTGATGCTTCAGTGTATTTTAATTCTAATTTTATATCCAAATTTGAACATTTTACAATGTTTGTTTTATCTTATTCATTTTATTTTACTTATGTTAATGGTATTTTCCACTTTGTTTTTTCCTTTTACATTTTTAGTGTAATGCACAATATAAATACTTTTGGTGTTTTCTAGCTGAGCTCTCTTCATGCTAAAAGTGCTTTGAAGTATGATTTATTGCTTCTCTACTTTAAAAAAAAGTGCTTTCTGGCCAAGCATGGTGGTTCACACCTGTAATCCTAGCACTTTGGGAGGCCAAAGTGGAAGGATTGTTTGAGCTCCAGAGATCTATATTAGCCTGAGTAAGAGCAAGACTTGTTTCTGCTAAAAATAGGAAAACTAGCCAGGCATTATGGCAGGTGCCTGAAGTCCCAGCTTCTTAGGAGGCTGAGGCAAGAGGATGACTTGAGCCCAAGAGTTTGAGATTGCTGTGAGTTGTGACACCACAGCACTGGACTGAGAGCATCAGAGTGAGACTCTGCACTTAACCAAGGACGACAGAGTGAGACTCTGTCTCCAAAAAGAAAAAAACATGCTTTCTAAGAGACTTAAGCTATAAATTCTCCTGTGTAGAGAATAGACTCTTAGACTTTTTCAGTCTAACAATTCGTAGACTTTTCTTCATTTCAGCAGAGAAACAAAAACAAAGCCTCATTGAGTTGTTTGTATGACACTATTATAGATATCAAAGAGGTGTTTGGTATTTAGCAGTTATAATAAATATCTTTTTAATTCATGTTAGCAACAAAAGCAGAAACATTTGTCCTATTGTAAAATTGGCAGTATTTTCAGAAAATAGGCTATAGACCCTAGGAAAGACCATTATGATTAATTATGGTCTTTTATTATGATAGCTTATGTCCGAACCTTGACAAATCATGGCTGGGAGAAGGTTCTCTGGGCAGTCAATAGGATAAAAATGGAAAAGAAAAAAGATCAGCAAAGTTGGGCCGTTGGCCTGCCTTGAACTTGAATTCTAGAAAATGGGGATGTGATCATTTTTCAGAGAGGATATAATTCTCTTTCCCTCATGTAAGCAAAGTCATGGTACAGTGAATAGTTGCTAATACAAAGTTCAAGGGTTCATTTATGTCATATACCTTTTTACTCCATTTAGTGTAACCCTTTTAGAAAAGCCAGATTTCTTCTTGAAAATTTTAAAAGTCACATATAAATATACACTTAAACACTTGTGTATTTGATCTAAATATATATACAGACACACAGATGTGGTCTCTTGTAGGGTGTAAATTGATATCTTATGAAATATCAGTTCACAGTGTAGTTTGTACAATCTGTATGAGAGCCAGATATTCTTGAGAACCTCTATCTTGAGATGCTAGACAGAAACAGCTGTTAGACTTTCTTTACAGAAAAATATAAATAATTATATCAGCAATCTGTATCTCAGTTCCAAAGGTAGTATGAGAACTTTATTTTTGACTTCTCAGTTTGATGGATGTCCTCCTCATTCCCATAAATATGATACAGTAAGTTCTACTGTGGTCAAAATAGTAACAGATAATGTGAAAGTAACTTAAAACCCAAATCTCAGTCTTTTTCTTATTTAATTCCATTGACTATTCCGCTTGCTATTTTTTTTATTCACAGTCCTAATTTATTAATCTGATCCTTTAAACCTATCACTGTATCCTAACAAATTAATTTTTAGCTTTTCTTTTTACTTTTAACTTGTTTTTTTGCATGTTAGGGATTAAGGAAAAATAAGTTCTCTTCCCTAACTTAAACCTCCTTTGAAATTATTTTAACATAACTTTGCAATCTGTTGTATATATTGTTGTCTTTTCTTCCACTTTGACCACAAATTCCCTCAGGTCTCCGCTGGTTCATCCTCCAAGCCATGGATGCCGCTCGACTCACAACAGCCCAATTCACACTGCTACTGGCTCACGGCTTACTCAGAACTTCTCTGTGTCTGTTCCCACTCTCATCTATACTGGTACGAGACTGCTCAGACTCCAGAGATGGGGAGAGGCAAGCCACGGGCAGAGTGGCTACAGAGGCAGGCAGGCAGGCAGGTAGCGTAGGCAGGTACCACAAGTCTTTGCTTCCTCCTGTCTTACTCCCAGTCCAGCTGCAGTGAAGAACTTCTGTATTTAGCTGCCACAGAGGCTGTAACAATCTGGAAGTGAAAGTGTTCTTCCAGCTTCCAAAGTCTCTTCCACAGATCCTCTAAGCACCCTATCTTTCCTGTGTGGACTGTGAATTTTGAGAATTCTCTCGTATGTATTTTTGTGATTATTCCTGTATTTATTTAGAAACAAAATTGGTGATTAGATTCTGAATGAAATCGTTGCCAGAGCTTCCAATTCGCTTTTTTTTCTTCATGTATGAAACCTGTCAGAGTAGGTTCTGTTTTGCTCTGTGGAAGAGAGCTGTTGGAAAACAGGTAAGCAAGTTTTCTGCATTCAACATGATGTTTCTGGAGAGCTGTACTCATTTTCCTCTCTGCTGTGTTTTTAGCTGTGGCACTCTTGATGCTATAGGATAAGGAAACATATTTTTATTTCAAAGTTATATATGTGTGTGCAAATATGAGAACAACTACGAATATTTACACACACCCTCTCTAGTTCATTTTTTTCTTTTGTAACTTAAGAAAGCATTGTTTATTTGAAACTATTTTATCATGTACTTATTTTTATTTCTCCTTTTAATCTGTTTTACCTCTTAGTCTGTCATTTCATGCTTTTTTGCTTTTTCACTTGGCTTATTAACTGTTTCAATGCAGATAATATTCAATGCAGAGAATGATGAATGGTTAAACAGTAATTGGTTGCTTTGGCCTCATTCCCAGCTCCACACTTAAGAAATGACTGCTGGCCCTGCCCCACTCCTTTTCGGGTGTTTGGATCATGCTGCCACCTGTCAAGCCCTCTGGCACATGATTACTTAATATTTCTCCACCTTCTTCTGGCAGGATTCCCTTCAATGAAGATCCCAATCCCAATACTCACTCATCAGGACCCTCAACCCCTCTGAAAAACCAAACTTATTCCTTTTCACCTTCCAAGTCCTACAGTCGACAGTCCTCTTCTTCTGACACAGATTTGAGTTTGACACCCAAAACTGGTAAGGCGCTTCCACCCACCTTTGTTTTTTCTTTTTGAAAAATTTGTTTCTGTTTCTTATTAGCTTTCCATCCAAATCTTTCCTCCTGTTTTTGGCATTTAAGTTAAAGATAATGTGAATATTGGTCATTTGAAGTTACTGCAATTAGAATATGAAAAATTTTGCATAGTTCAGAAATTATCCTCTTTGGAGGTCTACATTTCGTTGATTTAATCTTAGTGTAGATCAACTCCAAGATGTATTTTTGTGTGTGAACATTTTTTATTTCATACTCAAATTAAGAGGAATCACATTTTAAAGCATTTGAATAGAAAATAACCCTAGTAGAATTTGATTTCTAGCAATCAAATTCCTCTGCCTATTTCTGAATGTAATTTTAAGATTTTGTTATGGAAAAAAAAAGAACCTCTGATATGGTTATATTGGAGAATGTATATCTACTTAAATACTAACTTGTTATTTAAAATGTTTGGTTTTCTTGTTATTTTCTAGGTGAGAAAATAGATTTTTATTTTACTTAGTCTTGATTTTTTCTAGATTTATTACATTTATAATTTTCTCTCTCCTATTTGTATTTTGATGAATAATCTTTGTGGGTTTTTAGGGATGTGTTTTATGATAAAAAGTTCCTTACTCAAAATAGAATTAACTTATTTAAATCATTAAATTATTATTTAAGAACAATCACAAATAAATAAAAAATTTTATAAGTTAATGGTTTCCAAATTTATGAATAGTATTTTTGTCTGGCAGTTTTCTCACCCTTTTGATTAAAACATAGTTCTTGTTTGTGTTAGTATTAACTTATCATCTTTAATAATCTTACTTTTATGTTCAAAAAAAAATTTACCAAATAAATCATTGTTTTGTGAAAACAATGAAAAGAAATTTAATTCCAAACCAGTACTACTTCTGAAGAAAGTGCATTTAAAGAAAGTCTATAGATTTCATTTCTATTTTTATAAATGTAGTCACAAAATATAAAGAAGATAATTATGCACAGCTGTTTTGTTGAAGATGCTAGCTTTATTTTATATATACATAATTATAAATAATGTCTAAAAATAATGCAGTATTTGATAGTAGTGGATACTTTAGAATGTGGCCTCTTAATCATATTTATGCTATAAATTTAGAACCATTCAAGTCACAGTGGAAACAATATTTTAAAAATAAAGAATAAGAGACTCTGGCCTGAAAATTGATGGTAATAGAAACAGGAAAGATTTAGGATGGTTTTTGAAGAATAAATTTTAAAAAATACATAGCTCCCTGTGGCTTGAGCTCTTGGACTCAGGCAGTCCTCTTTCTTCAGCCGTCTAAGAAGCTATGCCCAAAAGTGGGTGCCACAATACCTGGATATTTAAAATAGTTTTTGTAGAGATGGGGTGTCACCGTGTTGCTCAGGCTGGTCTCAGACTCCTGGCCTCAAGTGACACTCCCACTTAGGCCCTCCAAAGTACTGGGATAATAGGTGTGAATCACCATGCTCAAGTATTTTTGAGACTTTGGTCCACTGACTGTAGATTTTTATTTTTCAGTACTCTTATCTATTATTTTTCTTTACTATCCCAGAGTAAAAAACTTGAGTATTTCCTTGGTATTTCTGTTTCTTTTTCTTCAATTCACCAAAAAAGAAGATTGTCAAGCAGTCAATTAACTGAGCCAGACTTCTCTTAGCTTTCTAGTAGGCAATCAATTGCATTGTCAGTGAAAACATTTTTATTTCAACCTCTAGCTCCAACTTTTTAGTTTTTTAAAATAATTTGTAAATGAGGTATTATTTCATATTTCTATAACTCCCTCTAAATAAAATATTATTATTATTTTGGCTGGGGCTGGGTTTGAACCCACCACCTCTGGCATATGGGGCCAGCGCCCTACCCTTTTGAGCCACAGGTGCTGCCCTAAATAATTTTTATAATAATTATTCACTACCTCTGTAGCTTATGTATAGAAAATTAGTAGTTTTTAGTCTCTTGGTTTTCTCATGAGTCCTTAAATATCTTTGAATTGTCCTCAGGAGACTTCCTCAGGAGATTTAAAATGGCAAAATTATGATTGTTCTAAAAATCTCCTGAAGAGAATTCATGGAGATTTAAAATGACAAAATTATGATTGTTCTAAAAGTCTCAAACTATCATTCAGCATGTATTTCATGATTCTCTGCCTGTTAATTTACCTGTGTGCAAAGTCAATGTCTTGAGAAATAGTGGGAATAGGTTAGGTGATGATAATTGGCTTGTTATATATGGACTGGGGAAGCCAAAAATAGAATAAAGTTAATAAAACTTAGAATCTTTTTCTGTTTATAGTAAAAGCTATTGTCAGTTTTCTCATAGGTCTCTTTTAAAAAAGTTATATTTATTTCTGCAGATTCTGATTTTTACAAGGCTTTATTTTTATATATTTTTCCCAAGTACTCAACAAGTAAGAATGGAATTATGGATTGCTTTTGTTAGGCTATTGATTTGACACCAGACAAATTGTTAGTTTCTTAGTTAGGCCTTCAGGAATGTATAGTTCCTGTGATCCTGTGGTGCTCAAATCTCTATAAATGCAAATAGTATTGTGATCAGATTAAGTTATTAAAAATTTTAGAAGAAAAAGAAAAGAATATACATTTCAAAACCAGACAGATCGAAGTTAATATTTATTTAAAATTAATAGTGACATCTGTCTGCTAATCTGGTACTGTTTTTTAAGGCTATTCAGTTAAAATACTTAAAAATGTTATCTTTTAGTTAGTAACCTTTGAAGTACTATATACCTTTACCACTTTAAACAAGTGTTTTTATATTTGAGGCAACACATTTCTGGCTTTAAAAGTTTGAAAATGTGGTATGTTTTAACCTTACAAATTCTTAAGCGAAAAAGGCTGGTAATTGAAATATCTCAAAGAAGTCAATTATGAGTGATCAGAATTGCATCACATCCTAAATTTAGTGATATAAGAAATTGTAATGATTGCAGAGGTTTACAAAGATTTTGTTAGGTTTCAGGCTATACCTTTTATTTACATTGTGCTGGGTCGATGGTTTTGCTGGTGACTTTTCATTTGCCTAGTGTAATTTGTCTATACGTTTTAAAATTCATTTTTACTGTTATGTTTTGCTTCATCGTTGCTTTCCTTATCCTGCATTTTCTGGTCATCTTCTGAATCTGCATCTTTTCTCTGCTACTTTCCTCCACAGCACCTTACCCACAGAGACCTAGGATTTACCTGTTTCCCAGCTCCCCCTCTCTCTCTTGTGATTCCCTTCATCTTAAAAAGTCCTGTCTCCTCCTCTCGGAATCTAGCCTTACCCCTCATCATTCTAGCCTTGTCAGCCCAGTTCTGAGGAAAAGTGTTTCTTTCAGTGAAGAGCTGTTCCTGGCTGCTTCTGGTAGGACCACATTATGTCAGCTTTTTAATCTCTGTATTTTTCATACTAAAAAGAATTATTCAATATTTCATACAGGATGTATTTCTGTTATTTTTCTTACCAGTAGAGACTTAAGCAATTAAAATTATCATGAGGAAACAATTGAGGATGACGTGGTGGATAATTATGAGTATTCTTCTAAATTACTTTGTATATTAAAAGTTATGCCTAGGTATATAGAGCTGGACATTTCCAGTAATTGTTAGGTTCTTTATTACTAGAGTTTGTGTTTCAGATGTTTTACTAGCTTTCTGTTCATGCCAACTCCATTCATATTGGACCTCTGTCATCACGTTGCTAAACCATATTGTAACATTAGTAAATTCTTCTGTTTGAATCAGTTTAAGTCTCATTTCTTTCAGTATCTTGTTTTTTTCTGTTGCCTTAATTATCAAATTATTCTGCTATATTTTCTGATATTTTGCTTATCACTACAAATTTACATTTTATTTTGTGGCTTTTAATATGTTTCATATAAAACCTTAGTTTCATTTCTATGTTTAGTATTGTATAGTCTCTGAAAAGTAATGTTTGTTACTATAACAAAAATTAATTTTTTTTGTATTTGAAGAATAAGATGGGACTATACACATGCTAACCTTTGTTTCCTTATCCAAGAACAGCTAAAAATGTAAAAGTGAATTAGTTTCTTTTGAAGTCATTGCAGTAAATGTGACTGTATGCATCCTCAGTTTTGAAAGAGATGGGATTAGCTTAACTCTAGTCTGTAGAGCACTGGCTTCTCATCTGTCCCCTACTTTCTATTCTTGTTTGACCATAGTTGATCTATTGGTACTGTCAAAAAAATAAAATGAGGTAAAATGAAGCCTTAAAAAATACATCTAAGAGTTTGGGAAATACAATTCTTTCATCTGTAACTATGTGCATTTGTGATATGTCTATTATTATATGTCTGACTTTTAGTCTTTAAAAAAATTACTGATTTTGGCAAGTAAGTGTTGACAATTATGAAATAACTATTTATTGTGATGTTATATTTAGAAATGGGAAGTCCTCAGAAAATAGATTTGACTATATTTAAAAATTGCCTAAGTTATATGCTCTTTAGAGAATTTGAGAATATTTTAAGTGTGCACAATCAATGCTTTTCTTCCATATATTTTATTGAATATTTAATATTTCTCTTAATTTTTAGTGTATTTAAGCTATTTACATAGTAATTATTATTGTGATTTTTTATTAGAAGATTCAATTTAAAAATGGAATATTATACGTAGATTCATCACCTTAATATAATTTCTCTTAAATTTTTTACAAATTAAAACTAGCTGTGGGTCAGTAGGATTTTGACATCTTGTTTTCTAATGAAAATTTTGTGAATAGAGTAAAATAGTATGTACTTTAGTTGTTATCACAAATGCTTTAAATGTTTGGATCATTGTATCATATCTTAACTTATGGTATTTATGAAGATGAATGCAACTAAACTTTCTGTTTCTATAGTTGTTTTTCTGGTTGTTATTTATGTACTGATTTCTGTAGGCATGGGAAGTGGGAGTGCTGGAAAAGAAGGGGGGCCATTTAAAGCTCTTTTAAGACAACAGACTCAGTCAGCATTGGAACAGAGGGTAAGATTCACTAGACATTCTTTATTCTTACACTTTAATACGACTTTATTTTATGCTTCTGTATTGTTACGTATTTTAATCATTTTTGGTCACATATCTGTAATACTGTAATTTTGAAGTCTAAAATATATGTAAAGTATCAAAACAGTGTTTTTATGCATAATCACTTTCGTTAGGAATAATTCAGTAACTATTTTTGTTTTGTCCTCCAGTTTATTATAAGAAATGCTCTTTTAGGAAATACCTATTGAATGCGGAAGTTATTTTTCATTAATGTCATAATATAGGAAAGGAAATGGTAGAAATTTTTACAGAAACAATATTTTAGTAGCATTTTATTATTTAAAAATAATTCTTGAATAATAACATATTTATTTGCTGAGATTATTATCACTGGCCAATCTCTGAGGGATAAGAAATGTACAGATTCAGATTCTGTATTTCTGCATGTTAATGTAAATAATGTGGCTATTCAGTTTAATGCCGCTCCCTGTATTTTAATTATTGTAAGTTTAACATTTAGTTACATTTATTGAGTAGGAAAATGAATAGTTACTAGTTTTTGGATGATTTCTCTCTCTCTTTCTCTCTCTCTCTCTCTCTCTTTTAATAAACTTCATTGCTAAGGGAGGATCGCCTCATAGGTTCTGTAGAAGGCGGGTATGTTTCCGAACATGTGTGAGAGCCTATTTCTTGTATTGGAAGCTTTTGTAGTTTTAATCCTGGTCATTTAAGTTTTATTTAAGCTTTTAGCAAGTGTTGCTAGCTTTTTCCTTTTCATAATGCTGAGTTTTATTTTCAATTTAATAGCACTGTGAGGCTCATGTTCCTTTTTCTACTAATACAGTGCATGGTTTTGTGTGTCATGTCACTTTTTTTTAAGACACAATTCTGTAGCTTTCACTCTGTCTGACTTGGAAGCTACATGTATTTTCAGAATCTTCTTTTACATGTTCCATTCTGCACCAGGATTTGAGGGGAAAAGAGTGAAACATGGTAAACTGTATAAAACAAAGGTGGTTCTCTTATAGAGGTGGGCTCTTTTGAGAACGCTTTCTCAGATCCTGTTAATACAAATAAGAAAACAATTTTATTTTTCCAAATTTTCATTCCTGAAAGTGTCTGTGGCTGTATTGTTGGCCTTTTAGACAAGGCTGGAGAATGTAGAGCATAACTAAGCAGAGCAATGAGACTTCAGCTGGGTCCCTTCTTTGCTGTCTACCCTATCAGGCCCCAGTTACCTTTCAGCTGCTCTCATACCTCCCGGGCATACCAGCGACTGTCCCCAAAGGCCTACCTAAACGTTCCCGTCATCTGTTAAAACCCATTCATGCAAAGGACCGAAAACATGAGAGGTCAGAGTTGGAGGACATGTGCCCAGTTACTGTGTTTTAGGCCAGAATGCTCTTTATCTCTCCCTCCTCCCCATTTTAACGTTTTCTGCAGAACCCACACAGTAGGAATATGATTGTTTGTAATCTAACTACCGTTCCAGAATGTCTTAATACATCAGCAGAAAAACTTGGGTCCTGTCGAAATTTGATATAATGGGAGATTTTGGCCTGTATGTTGTACCTGTGCCCAAACTAAGAATCTTTAAAACCGTGTCACTCTCAGGGAAAAAAGTGTTAATGAAAATCGTTTTGAATTTAGTTTGGATAAAATTTATGTTTTCAAATATGCTTTTAAACGTTCTTGAAATTTTGGAGATGAATACATTTGATGTATATTACTAGATAACTTTCATGGAATTAACAGGAAAGAAATAGAGAATTATACTTGTCCTTGACAACTGAGTTTATGAGACTGCTGTTTTTTGGGGTTTTTTTTGAGACAGAGTCTCACTTTGTTGCCCGGGGTATAATAAAGTGTGGTGCTGTCACAGCTCACAGCAACCTCAAACTCTTGGGCTCAAGTGATTCTTTTGTCTCAGCCTCCCAAGTAGCTGGGATTACAGGTTGCCTGCCACTACCCTCAGCTATTTTTAGAGATGGGGTTTGGCTGTAGCTCAGACTGGTCTTCAACTCCTGAGCTCAGGCAGTCCTCACCTCAGCCGCCCAGGGTGCTAGGATTACAGGCGTGAGCCACCGCGCTGGCCTGAGACTGCCTCTTGACTACTTCTTTATCCTGTGTACATAGCAAATAGCAACAGCTTTGTTATCTTTAGCTTTCCTGTTTACTGGTGGCTTCCATTAGCATGGCTTTGGGGAAATATGTGTATAAAATTATGAAGAATTCTCCCCAGACACGTTCCAATATGCCTTAATTTTGCATATCAACACCATGTCGTTGACATGATCTACTTATACTTTTTAAAATATTTTGTTAAATATTCATCTTATCCCTTGCTAAATATTTGCTAAAAAGCCAGATAATTAGCAAGGGTATTTGTTTTCCCCTTTAGGAAGGACACACTTTATTTGCTCGCCCTCTTTTATTTAGTGGATTATTCAAGTAGCTCTTCTCGAAAACTAAAAGAATTACTCTTTTCTCTCACAGAAGCATGAAAAAAAAATTTGGCAAGATCTTGCAAAAGGTCTCATGTTTCGGGGCGATGGAGAGATGAAAGTTTTGTTTGGATTTAGGTTTTACCTATGGATTATTTGACATAGTGTAGATAGGTTTATTTTTCTCTGTAAGTCTCTTGTTTTATCTATAAGAAAGGTGGAAATACTTTTCCGTTTCTGGGATATATACTAGAAACCTAGTCAACTTAGATTATCTTAGTAGTTCCCCAGTATTAATATGTGGGATGGAACCTTCCTTTTAAAATAGCTGTTAGTAAAAAATAAATAAATAAATAAATAAAATAGCTATTAGTGAGGAACACAGCTTTTGGAAACATTCCTATAAAGCAAAGTCTTTCAGTGAATTATAATCTTTTTGGATGTAGGGGTAAAATTGTACATTAAATCATAGTAGGAATCTGGTATGGAGTTTTATAACTAAAATGTTTACTTTGGCCTTTTGGAATAATAAAAAGATTATTTAAAAAAATCAACTATTGGCTCAGCACCTGTGGCTCAAGCGGCTAAGGTGCCAGCCACATACACCTGAGCTGGTGGGTTTGAATCCAGCCCGGGCCCACCAAAGAACAATGATGGCTGCAACCAAAAAATAGCCAGGCGTTGTGGTGGGCGCCTGGAGTCCCAGCTACTTGGGAGGCTGAGGCAGGAGACTCGCTTGAGCAGTTGGAGGTTGCTGTGAGCTGTGATGCCACAGCACTCTACCCAGGGCGACAGCTTGAGGCTCTGTCTCAAAAAAAAAAAAAAAAAAGCTGTGGCCATGCTTTAGGAAAGTAACAGTAGTACGCATACACCTAGAAAAAAATTTTTTTTTCTAGGAAAAATTCTGTATAAACTTCTATTTAAAAGAATATTCCCATTGTGTTCTGATGATTTTTAGTTAGTGTCTCTGAGCAAACTGATATTAAATATTTTTATGCTGCATGCACTTGATTTATATGTAAATATCAACATAGAAAGTCCATCTAGGATCCTACATATTTTTTGTAGAAAATTTCTTGGCTCGGCATCCATAGCAGACTGATTAGGGCGCAGGCCATATGTGTCCAGGCTGATGGGTTCACACCCGGCCTGGGACAGCTAAACAACAATGACAACTGCAAGAGAAAAATAGCCAGGCGTTGTGGCGGGCACCTGTAGTCCCAGCTACTTGGGAGGCTGAGGCAAGAGATCGTTTAAGCCCAGGAGTTGGAGGTTGCTGTGAGTTATCATGCCACAGCCGAAAATTTCTTGTACAGTTTCTGACATCCACATGTAGATGTTGAATGCTGTGTGCTTGATCTGATCTTAAGAAAGCTTCCTTGTGAGTAAAAGAAAATCTGTAAATTCAGGTTTGATAAAAAGATTATTGATAAAAATTAAGTTTTTAACTCAGACTGATAAGCAAACCAGATAAGGTTTGTTGCCCAGAAAGATCTAGAAATAAAAGGTCCTCTTCAGTTTTTCATATAAAGAAGTGGAGATAATAATACCTCCCTCTCGGTGGCATATCGGAAAGGTTATGAAACATAGCTGTAGAGTAGGATTCCCTGGGCCAGGTACATGTTAAGTACTTGAAAGTCCCTGGTCATGGTGATGGTGATGTTAGGTACTTAACAGTCATTGGATTTCAGCAGTAGCTGTTCTAATTAGGAAATTACCTGAAGCTGGAGTTTTGGTTAAAGGACAGTGACAGTTTTGTTTATCATAGGTTAAATTTTGTGTTTGAAGTGAATTGGGTGCCGATGAGGTGAACTAGGATAAGACAAGACAAGATGGCTTTTGGGTTGGCAGAGTCGGCCTTCGCCCCTGGCAGCTGTTGCCCTGTGTCTTTCTGCTCCGGCTTTTGTAGGATGCATTCCCTCTTGTTACTTTATCCAGTTTCCCAGGATTTGGAGAAGAGAATAAACAATCTCCAATAAAGAAATCATTTTTTCATACTTACCTAAAATCTTACGTGCAGATATTTTCTTGTACATGGATTTAACTTATTTCTTAGCTTTAGAAGGAAGTACTGTTTTCCATTTGGCTTACACAAATTTTCTTTCTATTATCTCTTGTTTAGAGATTTAAAAGATTTAAGTATAAGGAGTGCAATTTTTATTCTATGGGACCATCACGGCCCTCAGATATTTTGAGGAAATTTTAAAATTTAAGTGTTCCTAACAGTGGGGAAAAACATCTTGAAGACCTGACAAAATAACATAAACTCACCCGTACATTTCTCATTTAAAACATAAGTTTAAACAGTTAAAATGGAAATAAGGATTCATTTTGACCATACGTGTCATAATACAAGTAACATTTCCCGGCTCTCCTCTTCCTCCGCAGGGCCAGACCTTACCACTCCCACCAACTGGAACTTAGAGTTCTTACATAGCCTAGACTTTTTTCTTGCTCTTTTCCATTTATAGGTTACTTCTACGTTCCAACTGAGTCTATTTCTGAATACTGCTTGCGTGTGTGTGTATGTGTAGATACACATACACATGTATTTTTTTACACTCAACCTTCATGGGTTGCTGGGCAGCTGGACTGTTTGCTTTTGTGCTAAATGATTTCAAGTTGTTACGCTTTGTGAATTAAGCTTTTGCGAGTTTGTCTTCTCCATGCTGTATTTAATCAGCCAGTCAATCACCTTGTTGCTTTTAATGTGCCTGCTTCTAGTAGAGTAGTAGTCTGTATCTTTTTCTCTCTCAGCTTTTATTTGTTGTCTTCAATCCACTATGGTCTAAAAAAATAAGATATCTAATTTATGTTCTTAAAATACATATGACTACTGTGTATCATAGTATAAATATGATTTTTGGTATATCTTCTGTGAATAAAGTGCATGAGCATAACAGTTTCTGACTGTGAGAGCCCTGTGTTGCTTGTTTCTCATTTCTCAGTTGTGTTTAAAATAGCTGAGGTAAGTGACTTCTGATTAAGTGAGCTGCATCAGTCTTAATGTCAGACAGGGCAGTTGCCAGGCTTCCCCTAGTTGCTTCCAGCTTGTACACCGAGAGGGGTCTCTGTGTTTGCACAGCCATAGGGGCTTCCCTTTCTTCCTGTGGGCTGTTTCTATGAATTTCCTCTCTCTGCTTTATCATTTCGACTGTATTTCTCTTTGTCTCTTAAATTGATGAATTTATGTCCTTAAGAGAAAAGGGGAGAACAAAGCTTGGAGAAACTTGTGGAATTTTATCACCTCCCTAGCTCCTATCCTCATACCTTTCTCCTTTCCTTAGTCTACATCTATGTACTCGCATTTGCTCTGGCTAGAGAGTAAATAGTCCCACACAGCAAGTCTCTACCTGCCCGAACTTGTATTTGCCCTTATCCTTTCTCCTTTCTTTTAACCCACATTGCTCATCCTTTCTCCTCCCCTTCCTTGCTCCCACCTTTTTAGATCTCTTGCCCCAGTCCTTTGGAGTCTTTACCAATGGTTTAGATTGGGTACATAGGTGAAGGGGGCATCTATTTATACCCAGAAATAGATAAGGGGAGTCCCCTCATTTTACTGCAAAGTTGCATCAGAGTAAGAGATTGAGAGGAAGAGTATGTTTCAAGTATCTCAAATAGGAACTCTGAGGACATTTTTTTCTCATTGAGAATTAATAAAAAGGATTTTTATGTTCTGTATAAAATTGAACATGTGGGAAATGGATTTGGAACTGTAAACGTCTAAAGAAACTTTTAATTATGAAGCGTACGTAACATATAATGTGTAGCCTTGTATTTTGAGGGATAGAATATATTTCCTTTAACAAGCAAATTTTTCCCGCTTTCCACGTGGTCAGTTGTATTTTCCTCCCCTTCTTTCCACTAGGAATTTCCGTTCTTCACCTTGACGGCGTTTCCTCCTGGATTTCTTGTGCATGTTGGGGGTGTTGTTAGTGCACGTTCTGTGAAGCTTTTGGATCGTATCCACAATCCCGGTATGTCCTTAAGAAATTTGTTTTCAATGTTTCCTTCATTTAAGTGATCATTATTAAAACAAATTTTTGTAATTTTTTTTTTTTAAGCCAAGACTGAAATGAGAAATGAAAAGAAAGTATTAACTGGTACATATTACTTTAACATATTTTAGTAGTCTTAAAAAAATAAAATATTTGTTGTAATCTTAATGAAAGATAATCAAACTAAGTAGAAGTGCATTTTAGTAACTTATCTGTACAAAACAAAGAGATCTGGATGTATTTTAGACCAAGGTATCACTTTGGAGAATACTTAAATAACTTTGGAGTCAGCTATTTTCTTCGACCCAAATTTTATAATTTGGTACTTATGGCCATTAATTTAAGGTGTTCATTCTTATTTATTAGCAATAGCTTCTTAAACATTATTTAATTTTCTCGTTTTTAAAAGAGGTAATCTTTTAAAATGTAATTGTGGGCTCGGCACCTGTGGCTCAAGCGGCTAAGACACCAGCCATACAACAATAACGGCTGCAACCAAAAAAAAAATAGCCGAGCATTGTGGCGGGCGCCTGTGGTCCCAGCTACTTGAGAGGCGGAGGCAGGAGACTCGCTTGAGCCCAGGAGTTGGAGGTTGCTGTGAGCAGTGAAGCCATGGCACTCTACCCAGGGTGATAGCTTGAGGCTCTGTCTCAAAAAAAAAAAAAAAAATGTAATTGTGAAGCTGGATGCATTGGAGAGTGCCTGTAAATCTCAGCTACTTGGGAGGCTGACAGAGGAGGATCAGTTGAGCCTAGGTGTTAGAGGCTGTAGCACTCTGTGAATGGGCCTGTGAATAACCACTGTACTCCAGCCTGGGCAACACAGACCAACGTCTCAAAATAAAAAGTAACTGCAAACATCCTTAGATTATCTAAGAATTAAACAAAGAACCCTCTGGTTCCTCATTTTCTTTTAGGTAGCTATTTTATATAAGTAAACAAGTAAGACTAATAGCTCACTTCTTTGAAACATTGGGCCATAATTATAAAAGAGAATTGTATCAAAGCCCCAGTAACATCAGGCTCTTGGATTAGAAATACTGTGTTGATTTTTAAAGTCTAAAGTAAGTGTAATAGATGGTAGAAACTATCCATAAGGAAATATGCTCTTGCATTTCTCATTGACTAGATGCTCAATCGACTTACCCTAAACCTGAATTTATATTAGTATTTGTATTTAGCTTATATACATTTCCGTTTTTGAAAATTATTGTCATTTCTGGTAACCTCTCTCTGAGCCCTGTATTGACAGCTTGAAAGGATGAGTAGAATGCTCTGAAATAACTAACTGGATGGAAAATATTGTAGAAGTGATTTTGAGAATACAGAGCATTACCATTCTTTAAATTTTTTAAAAGTATACCCTGTGTTTTAGGGTCCTTTGAGTTTATTACAGAAGAATGGAATTCTTCTGGCCTGACTGAGATTTCAGAAAAACAGTGCTAGTCAGGATTATTTAACTCTGAAGCTGAGCCAATACTTGTCTTTTAAGTACCAGTCTTTTTCTTCTCTGGTCTATTTTTTTCTCCTGTTTCTTATTTTTCTGGTCAATTTAAGATCTCTTCTTCCCTATAGCATTTATATAATCTGCAATTTTTAAAGAAAAAACCAGACTGATGCCAGTTTCATGATTGAGATCTGTGCCAAATTCTGTATCTTTATATTTAGGGACTTGAATTACTTGGAAAGTCCCAGGAAAGACTGAGTTAAGATAACTTGACATTAACCATGTGACCCATGGATTTGTGTTTCTATGGACCATAAAACATTTTAATAGATGCCACCGCTGGCCTGATAGCTCCATAAATTTCAGGAATCTATTCAGTTGTTGATAATGTCTCTGCTTACTGTAAACATGCTGGTTATTTTGTTGCTTCTGTGTGCTCTGAGTAAGCTGTAGAGTTTGGGAGAACAAATGAAAGTTACGTACATAAGGTTAAGCACAGAGCAAATTTAAAGTGTTACTACTTAAAAAAAATGCTTTAGGATTTATTTTACCTGACAGTTCATTATAGCTACGTAAGATATAAAAGTATCCAATATTAGTAAATATAACTAATCCATGAAAAGAGGAATTCTAACTGTATTTTGTGTATTGTAATGACAGACTTACCATCCATTTTCTCCCTTTCCTCCTCTGCTAGAATATTTTTTTCGTTTGCATGTAGAAGTTCTTAGTTATTAATGGATTATTTCCCAAGCAAGATGTTATGGGCACATGCATTTAAATGCTCTTAATGGTTTCTGAGTTATATTTTCATTTTGTTTTATTTCAGTGAAATATGTATCAATTATATATTCCAATGGTTCCAATGTTATATTATTTTGATTTAAGATAACATATGCCTTGGATTGTTTTATGTATTATTATGCAATAAAATGGAACATTTCTTAAAGAACATTTTTTGATCTCCCGTTCCCTTAAACAATTATGAGGAAATTTTAATTTGTTGAAAAAAGCTGAATGTTACAATGAAACCAGGTCAGCATCTCCCATAATGATGATGTATTAATTTTGTGCCACTGAGTTACTCTGTGGAGAGAAATTTATGATGGATTGAGATGCATGTGCTAGTGTTAAGAATGCTGTTTTTGTATTCTCAAGGGAATCTTGCAGCTATTTTTTGACTAGTGAATATGGGAAGTTTTTATTTCATTCTTGCCATAGAAGGAAAAAAAAATCTCATTTTAAAACCACTACCACCTGCTAACTCTATGGGCTATTATTTTGGAGGGCTTTAAAAAAAAAATTCCTCCTTTGGTAAATGTTAAGCGAGCAGGAGCATCCAACAGGGGAAAGAACGGGGTGGTTTTAAAAACCAAGGTAACTGAATAATCCGATGAGTTAATGTCAGATTCCTGTAGCATGCTCCCCCCTCCCCTCCTATTTCTACTTCTGATTAACTCTGCTGTCTGTCTTTCCAGTTCTTGTCAAGTGGTGTTACTGATTGTGTTCTTGTTTGTAGTGTTTTTTTTGTTTGTTTGTTTTATTCCTACTATTCTGCACCTAAAACTGATCTACTAATTTGCTGTTTTGAACTCAGCCTTTGTCGGAATTATGGGTAACACAAGATCTTACAAACTGCTAGACTGGAATAGTTTCAATTCAGGTATTTTAATGGTCATTCAGTACTACATATGCTGACAAAAATTATGGCAGCTCAGTGAAGTTTTTAGAAACGCTCTACATTAAATAGGCTTAATGTCAATTTAGTCATCAGATATATTCTGCAGTATGTATGCAGTATCTCTTGTAATTTCCACAGAAAATGCAAATATAAAAATGTGTTAATTAAAATGAATTACTCCAAACCTTAGAAGTGCCATAAATTACCAGTGACTTCTTAGGTGGTTAACTGTCAGAATGGTAATTTTAAATTTATATGTACTACATTTTGGATGCCTTTTTGATCAGGTATATGACACAGACATTAGCATTATGATTAAGCAAATATTAAACATTCAGAAGTTTTTAATTTTTGATAAATTTTTAAGTATATCTAAATTTAAATTGCATATTAGATTTGAATAGAACATATTTAGAGTTGTATAAAATACTATAAGTGTAACTATTAGCATTTTTATATATAGGCTAGAAGTGTTCCAAAATTTGGTTAGAAAGAGCAGATTTTGGGGGGATTAACAGCTTTTTAAAACCTTCCTCCTTCCCCTTCCACGTGAGAATATAATTTTTCTTCTTAAGTAATTTTACATATGGATGTTGTCTGTAGCTTTTAAAGAAACCAAACTAAGAGAACTTTACAGCTGATGATGTGGTTTAAAGTCAAAGCCAATTGATTTTTCTTTTTGATAAAAGAATATTATCTTAATACAAATTTTTAAATTTTTATATTATCTAATTTTAGAATTAAAAAATAGAACCACTTTAATTCAGTATCAGAAGCTGTTTTTTTTTTTTTTTTTTTTTTTTTGCCCAGAGAAATTTTTCAGTTCTTTGTGTCAGAAAGAATAACTTACAGAAAAGTAGACGCACCAAGGGGCTCAGCATTTTAGATAATATCCCATAATCTTTTCAATATTGTAAACTTTTTTCTGTTCTTAGGAGTTCAAGATATAAGTTGCAATGTAAGTAATGCATGTTTGACTGTGTAGTAACTCATTTTCATTATGCAGATTTACCTAAATTCATTCTGGTAAACAGTCTGGTCAGGTCCAACCTTTACAGATGTAGACTGATATTAACTGGTAAATCTTTAGGAAGATTAACAGTGTTTCCTATCCAAGTCTTTGCTGGCATGCTGTCATTGATTAGAATTAAAGTTATCATTTTTAGTGTAGTATCTTATAATTGACTTTTAGTGAGAGCTTTAAAATACCTTGATAGATTCATTTCATTTAAAAAAGAATATTTTTTTAACACATGGAGAGATTAACGTAGTGGGAAGAGAAAAAGGCCGTGTAGAAAAAGGACATTGAACTGGCTGGGCACCTGCCTGTAATTACGGAGATTTGGGAGGCAAAGTGGCACCATCACTTGAGCCCAGGAGTTTGAGACCCTATGTCTAAACAAATAATGGAAAAAAAAAAACTGACCGAGTATGGTGGTGGTGCATGCCTGTAGTCCTGCTACGTGGGAGGCTGAAGCAGGAGGATCACTTGAGCCCAGTAGTTGACCCACTGCATTCCATCCTGGGTGACAGAGTAAGACCTTGATTCTTGAAAAGAAGAAGAAAAAGGATGTTGAGAGCAGACCGATCATTCATAATTTCAGGAACTGAAATCTTGTCAAGGCAAAGATGTGTAGGGTGATGTGAGTGTTGATCAGATGATTGAATAATCTTGGAGAGAGAAAAAGGCAATAATTAAATCTTACGTAGTACATTCTTTGTAAGTTGACTACCCAAGGGACTGTAACAAACTAGTCAACATACCAAACTGTTCAACATAAGGAACTGGGCCTACTGTACTGTAGGTACATGTGGTTCATGACCAGTCTATGAAAACTAGGTTAGCTTAAGG